AATGAATAAATACAACATGTATTGGAACGAAATGTTGGTTGAAGAAAGGTAAAAGCATTGCCCATAAAACCAAGGATTCCCAATATAATGAATATGAGTGGAAGATGAATGAAAAATCGATGGATCAAAGAATTAGCCATAAAAAAAATTGAATCCGATCTAACATCTATATCGTCGTCACTTTCATTAAACGACATAATGATGTATTCGTCTATAGTATTTGTTTTTTCTTGATCTGGAATATTTTACTTTTGCTCTATTTCGAATAAAATTACAAAGTAATACAGAAATGAGTAGAGAATTTTCTTTTTCTTTAAATAAAAGTTTATAAAGCCTAATAATATGTTTATTTTAAACAATAGCTGTAATGAAAATAGTAAATCGTATAAATGTGTTGTTCTATACTGAATGTTGAATTAGTATAATTACCGAATGTTTGACAATTTTTCTCTAGGATAAGAATAACACTTGAAATTGAAATGAAGGAGTTTTAATGGCATTCAGTGGATATTATTTTTCTAGCTAAAGCACTAAAATCAAACAGATTAATCATCATCTGTTTCAAAAAAAAAGAAGAGACGCTAAAATTTTTTTGAATAACATTTGGTAGGCACAGCAGTAGCCAGAAACAATTAACATTGGAGGTTGTCATGACTTTTTCAAAGGAATATTATCTTGCTTCTGACCTACTTCGAAATGAAGTTTCAGCCCTGCTGGAAAAAAAACAAAAGACTCTCACAATTTGGAGGAAGTCACATATCTAATTTAAACTCATGAGTACGTGCTGAATTAATCAAACCAATTCTTAATGGAAGTTTTGAAAACAGAAGCAAGACTGAATTTAGGAATTGTTTCGTTCAAGCGTTGTCAGCATTTTGTTGAAGCTTCAAATGAATTGGCTTGTGATGACCCGAAAACAGCATCTAAGCTAGAGTAGTTTACCCTGCTGAATCGAATGTTGATATTTAGTCTTGAATTTTAAATGATCTGACGTTGTTCTTTTAGTATTTCCGAAGTCTCACAATCTGGCGCTATCTAGTATAATAAATCTAAATGTCAGATCATTTTAAATTCAGAAACAAAAATCACTATTCGATTCAATATAGTGAATTATTCTATTCTGAATACTTTTTCAAGTCATCCGCGATCAATCGGCTGGAATGCGAAGTGTCAAGGAAGATCCTTACAAATTTTGAACTAAGCAAGCTACCTTCCTCTGAAAAATTATTCAAAAATATATCTACGGCTCTTTCTGTTTTGAAATGCATAATAGTAAGCTTGTGTTCTTAACGCTTTTTGTCAATAGTCAGTTATACATATCTTGCACCGTAACACATCAATTGTGTGTTGGGCAACCTATAGTACTTAGTTGTAGAAAGTTAACTAAGTCCGATTATTTGTTGAAAACTTACCAGTATCAACTGACAGTGAGATGCACCAGCCTTCAGACGATATTTTTTTATATAGATAACGGATTAAAGATTGTGGTATCGAGATTATTCTATGAAATTATAAAAAGTCCACAAAAATGGATGGAGTTGTTGAAGATTTATACTCGATTTGTTTTTTACGCAGACCAAGCAATTAAGTGTGTGCTGGTTATTTCTTTTTTTTTAATTTTCTTTCGAATTTTTATCATAAAGCAAAAGTTATCTTATCTCTCATTACGTTTAGTTACTCAAATCCGGACTATTCATAACGTATAATTAAATTGAGTTAATTTACTTCAGCGTGAATATCTGAGAGACCCATACATCAAGGATTCACCTCGATCCAGTTACTTTTTTTCAAGATTATTATTCAGAATACTAATGAAATTTTTTAATGATAACTATTTTCTGATGTTTTAATCATTCTTTTCTTTCTATAATGCCTTCAAACAAATAACTTTGGATTTTCAAAATAAGAGAACTTTTACTTAATGCTCTTTTAATTACAATAATTAATAATTTCTATCACTATTACATATGAAATTTTCTTTGTTTAAATTTAATCATATGATCAAAATATTTTCACCAGCGATAGAGTTTAAAAATTTCTATCATCTGATATATTTAAAAATTTTTGAATCAAAAATCATCTTTTTCCTACCATTCATAAGATATGTTTGAAAATGCTGGCGTATTTTCATGAGCTACATTTTTTTACCTCTTCTTTTTGTGTTGTAGATGGTATCATAATATAAAATGACTGACGTAGATTTTTGATATTTTTAGTATTAGTAAAAAAGATGAAAAATTTAAGAGAGGAGGACCATGTTGCATAGAAAATAGTATCATGAAATTTTTGAAGGACATAGTTCAGACGAAGTATAGTAAAATTTTCTAGTGTAGCTTTGCGTGCAGATTGTGAGCATAGGACTGATGTTTTGATGAACGTCAACTTTTTGCAGTGAAAATCTGAAAATTCTTTTCTTCTTATACTAATATCTATGGAATTTGCTCTTTTCATAATATGGCGTGTTTTTTTTTTTATTAATAGTAAAAATATCACAAATTTGGTTTAGTCATTTTATATTATCATATCATTCATAACAAAGAAAAGATCTTGAAAAAAAATATTACTCGATTGAGAAAATATAACTTATGAATAATACGTCAACATCTTCAAATATATCGTATAAAACATAGTCGATTGATATTTTGCTAACAAAATGTCAAAAAAAGACTCAAATAGAGCTCTGTTTGGCATATCAAAATATATATGGTGTTTCTAATTAAAGAAAACTTCTGAAGTTTCGTACGGCATGATAGAAAATATTAATAGTTATGATTTTACAAGAACATCAAGTCAAAATCCTCTTATTGTGAATGATAAAAGTTATTCTTTCAAAGAAAACTCAGAAAGTAATTATCATGAGTATTTTGAAATCGGATTGAGTTGAAAGCTTTAGAGAATATTGAAATCATCATCATTATCTTTTACAACATATTAAAAAAGTCAGAAAAGATATTACTCTATTGTAAATGCAATCAAACGATTGATTTTCTCAGACATTCACTCAAAAGTATTGTACAATTTATTTTCGTTTTGTAATTCTCCTATAATTAACTACGTTTGAACGATGTTCTTTTATTGAAAGTTCAATCATTTACTGAATATTTATCGTTTTTTTTTGTAAATATTGTAGACGATGTTACTTTTATGAAATTCATCCGATAGATTCTTAAGCAAAAACATATTTTATCTTGTTTTCTTTTCTTAAGTTTTTGTGTTAATTTATTTGCATTTCATCAAAGAATATGTTCGAAGATAGATAGCATCAATCAATCTTTTGGTAATGAACAAAACCAATTATATCAAGTTTTACATTTTTATCCTGTAAAGATTGCATTAACAGTTCTTTTTTTTGAATCGAAATTATCGTTTCTTTTCTGCTGTCATAATTATTATTTCATAAACGATTGATATCTCTATTAAAGTAAGCATAATCCAGCTGATTTTTTATCACTACATATCTAATTAAGGGAGACTACGGTATTCAGCTACAAAAAAAGAATCACCGTAAGAATACGTTTCTTTTCTTCAATTTTGTCTTACTATGTTGATCATATATATATATATTTATTTATTAATCGTTTTTATTTTCGACATATGTTTTGAAAGCAATAGCAACAACAACAAAAACAAGAGACAAACAATAAGTATATGTGAAATATTTATCATATTGAAATTCATTCAATTTAATAATTTAAAGACTAGAAAATAAATCAATATACCACCGGCAATAATAGAAAAAGATTAAAAATATATTGCTTAAAATTCTTCTTCTTTTTATTTTCTCTGTATATATATATATTGTTGAAGTTCCATGTTATTCATCTTCATTTGTTTCTTCATCGATTTCAACGAATTGATTTATTTGTTCTTCTTGTATATCAATAGTTGTATTAAAATTCAATGATTGTTTATTAATATAGATGACTTCTTGAAATGGTTCATCAAATGTTGTAGGATAAACATCCATACTATTTAATTGATCATCGAAATTAAAAGTAGTTAAATCAAGATTAAATGATGGATCATTATCTAAATAAAATTTCATATATTTATATTCAAATTATAAGATTAAGGAAGCATCAGTGAAGCTCTAATTTTCAACAGTTAATTCAGCGTTGAATTTCATACATTAACATCATTTGCTTCCAATACATAGATTCGAACCTATTTTTGTATTTACTAAAACTATTCGATTAAAAGTTGATATGACATACATATCGATTATGGTATCAATCTATTTTTATTCTTTCGAATAATCTAATAAAAAACAAACAAAAATATTTAGAATTTTTAATTTGAGTGAGATAAGTAATATTCTTTATTGGAATATTTTGTCGAATAGTTAAAAGAATTTATTTCTAAATATTATTCAAAGATGACTATAATGTTTTGACTTCAGAATAGGATATGTATATGTTAATAGAAGAAGATTTCCTTTACGTAATGATATACATACTATCAAGTTCTATTATATACCATCGAGATATCAACACAATACGATGAAAGTAGCGCCTTCTGTTGATACCTTAATAGTTTGCAATATAACTTGATAATACATACCTTTGATAACAGAAATTTCTCTAAATATTTTAAACAGTGGTTAAGTTATTGTTCTCTCAATGATTTATTAAAGTTCTATTCTAATTTGACATGATAACATCCGAATTTATATATCCCAAGTCGAAGATTCTGGTCACCGGATCCCGCAGGAAAGATGCAGGAAAATTTACCGTATCCGGCAGGAAAATACCGGAAGTTGCCGGAACTCGCCCGTACTTCTCGACCTGGGATTAGGATAAAAAAAACTTTGATCGTACAAATCTCTACTTCATATAATTTTCATTTGAACATGAATATTTTCAACATCTTGACTAATTTTCGATAAGTATCTATATAAATTCGTAAAAATAATGATTTTTGAAAAAAAAAAAAGTTTTTCCTAATAACTATTTTACTTTCTGTCTTCTAATCGAAAAGAACTGAATATATTTCTTACATTTTTGAGTATAATATACAATGTATTGTTGAATTGTTAATTCTAATTGTTTTAAATTCTTTGGTACAATCGAACATTGTTTAGTTTTTTTAAATAATTCTATTTGTCCATATATCCATTTATTTGTTGTTCGATTAAATGGTTCAATTAAACTTTCTAAATAATCAATTTGTTGATAAAAACTATCCATTAAACGATCTTCTTCTCCAATATATACAAATAAATTTGGTTGTTTTGATAATAAATATAATAATGAATATGCTTCATCTTTTAACATTAAAACAAGTGGTATATTTACATTAGTTTTTCCATCACCCGACATAGAAAATATTGCACCATTTGAAGAATTTAATGATATATTATTATCAATAACAATACCAGCAATAGCTTGAGCTTTTTCTAAATAATAAGCTTTTTCAATAAACATACAATCACCACGACGAACAATACCAATACGAGAATAAATATAATGAGAATATAATATTTCTGAACAAGCAGAATATGGTTCAACAACATATAATTGAGCAAATATCTAAACAATCAAAAAAAAAAAAAACTAAAATAGTATTTATAAATAACAAAAATAAAAAAATTTTTTTACTCCTTGAGTATCATGTAATTGTTTACCAAATTGAGCTGTAATAACAGTAAAACTAATTGGATTTTCTAATAATGGAATTATTAATGGTATAACCGTTAATGGTATATGATAAGTTAGAGAATTTTCTACTGTATTTGTATTTTTCATTAATTCAATCATATCTTGCATAAATATTAAACCATTTTCAGCATCATCAATTGATTCAGCATTTGATGCTATATGAGCTAATTGAATTTCTGAATAAAAAAAAAAAAAAGAAGTTATTAAGAATTAAACGAACAAAAGAACATTCAATACTAACGACCACCAATCAAATATTGAATTTCAATACCCATTTGTTTAAGTTCAGATATATGCTGAGGATTATCAGCAGAAAATTCCATAGCAGTTAAACGATGATGAGATATACTAAAGAAAATATTTCTATTATATGATAATAGTTTCTATTCAATCAAAAGTGTTCTCTGAGCAATTTAATTTTTCTTGATATTTGAGCTGTGCAGGGTAATATCACTAGCATACTCTCTAACATGCAACATAGAGTAAGAAAAATGTGCAAATCATTTATATTGTATCGTACCATGCAGTATTAGAATGAGAAAATTTTTCTTAGACATGGTATAGATTATGAAAAAAAAACGCTTACTCTGCACATCTCTATTTTAAAATTAATGTTAAAAAAAAACAAAGAGTATATTTTAATTAGTTGAATAGATTTTAAATATTTAACTAACTTATTTGATTGTTTATCAATATATTTTGATGATATTGTTATTGTTTCTGTCATATCTTGATCACCACGAATATTTTCTCGTAATTTTTCTTTATATTGATGTGATTTAAATTGTTCATCCATAGCAGGACATTGATTTATTTTTGCTTTTCGTTCATATGATTTTTCATATGAAGAAAAATTTTTTTGTTCATAAATTTGTGCTGATTTTAATGTTATTTGATTGAATTCATTTTTTAATGTATCATTTATATTAAATAATAAAATATTTAATGGAAGAAGATGTCCTTCAGTTGTAAATATAAATTGATCAATATCAATATAATGATGTGGTATTGAATCAAATAATAAATAAAGATATTTAAATGTTTCAGCTAATACAAATGAATCCATACGATCTTCTTTTTGACCAGTAGAAACATCAGATAAAGCAGCATAACCACATGATACACGAGCATGTTCTTCTAAATTAGTTAAGATTGTTTTACCAACTTCAAGATAATGTGGATCACCAGTAGCCTAGAAAAGAAGATAAAATTATGTTTAAAGTAGATTCAAGAAAATTGAACATTTTCAATGCTTTTTTTTTTGTTTCCAAATTGATTATTTCGAGAGTAAACGTGTTTCGTTAAAATTTCTCATGTTAAACTTTTTGATATATGTTTTATTTTTAGTAAAAGAGATATTACTTATAGTCATGATGATTAATGAAAGAGTTAGAAAACATCTTAGGACAACTTATAATATGATTTAATACAACTTCACTTCATCTTTTCAATGCTGATAAAATCATAGCATTCTATCTTAAGTCTATGAAGAGTTATTAAAAAAAAAATATTCACCTATTTTGTTGTTAAAAATGGATATAAGTTTTATGAAATCAATGTTATTCATTTACTTTCATTTAACTGAAAAGATTCTATTATTAAATAATATATATATATATATATATATATATCTTTACCTTATAAAGAAAATAAGTTGATTCAACAAATTCTGGTCTTAATGGATGTGATTTCCAATGTATTCTATAATCTGTTGTAAATGCTTCTGGTAAAAATTTATGTTTTTTAACAACATTATAAAGCATTTCATGTAATTCAATAGCTGATTTTAAATCTCCTGTTAAAACTTGTAAACCAGGCCAAAATGCTAATAATGCATCCATATATTTTTTAACTGAACGATATGGTTGATGCATATGAACATTAATCATTGCAACACCACGTTGAACATAAGACATTATAGATGAATAATGTTCTTCAAATCTTAATAAATAATCATTATTTTTTTCACCCAATAAAACATATGCTTTAAATAAATATTCATAATATGAATCAATACCAGCACCAATACCTGATTCACGTACAATCCAATCACCTGAATGTACATTAAGTATTGTACCCATTAAATTTGATTGTCGATGTCGTCTTTCCCATAAATATGACATAGCACGATCAGCATATTGTTCAAATAAATAATTTCCTGTTAAACGTGATAATGTTGCCCATTCTAATATTAATGTACCAGCACATGCTGTACATGTATAACGTTCACGTTCACTTTTTGATAATGTTAAATCAATACCATAATGAAGATTAACACGTGGTAATGGTAAACCACTTGTTGTATTAAATGCTGGTAATAAACGTAAAGCTAAATCATGTGCTAAAATTAATAATTCATCACGATACCAAGATAAACGAGATGGATAATGTAAATGAATATATTTTGCACATATATGACCACCAAGAAGACCACTAAAATAAAGAAGTAAATATTTGGTGAGAAGAATTTCATGATTGATAAAAGAATTAAATATGTTTTATTGTTATTATTAAATTAGATTTACCCGACCATTCGAATATTTGTTTCAAATACAGAAACAACAACATCACGATCAAATGTAACATGTTGAATAACTTGACGAATGGCACGTTCAAATTCATCAAACATTCCAAGAACCTTTAAAAAAAAACAATTCTTAATTTACAAAAAAAACAACAAAATATGTTTGATTATATTACTGCTAAAGAATCTAAACTATCGACAAGTGTTAATGAAAAACTATATAAAAAAAAAATAAGAAGAAGTTTATTTTCATTTTTAAGATGTTTTGTATATACGTACTTGCCAAGTGCATCATCAATATCACCTCGTGATGGTTCAGAACCTCGATATCGACCTTTACAACTATAGAAATAAACATATTATTATTTCTATTCATTTATCAAATATATTTATTTACCTTAATGGCATTAATTCATCTGCAGGATAAGCATATTTCTATAAATAAACTATAATAAAATTAAATTTCAAATAAATAATTTAAATACCATATATGAACTAAATGCATGTTTAAACATATCAAGAACTTGTAGGCGAAGTCGATTTTTTTCTTCTAATTTCATACTAGTCATTATTGGTAGAAAAATTAGAAGAAGAAGAATTGTTGTATAAAAAATTTTGATAGACATCGTATCGATTGAAGCTTTAACAAAATTTTAAATTCATTTACGAGAATTAATAATTAAGATTTTAATTTAATATATTGCATATTAATTAAGTAAATAATAAAAAAATTTGAATTACGACATTGCAGATTTTATTTTTCTCATATTAAAAAAAAAGAAAATCTGGAAAACTTAAAAACAAAAAAAACGAAGCTATGATTCATTCGCCATTAGTGAATTCATTATCAAATCGTAATTTTTCTAAATTAGATGTCACTATCATACAGATCAGAGTTTTAAATAGGTTGTCTTTTTTGTAGACATGTCATAGGAAATCCAATTTGCTCGCTAGACAGAGATCTTTGCTTCTTGTATGTACACATATTCATGTTTAAGTATTAGGAGGCTTTATCTGATCAGTGATCTATTCCAAATAAAAATCGTTCAACACCAGCTTCAATTGCTCACTATAAGAAGATGTTCACATTGTAGAAGGATTGATAGGATTAATTTTTATCCTACATCAAATATTACTTGAAAAACTATCGGTATATAATCACATAAAGAAATAATCGGATAGTAATATTGAGAAAAATAATCTGGTTTAAGTTCTAAAACATTTTTAAAGATTCTGGTAGACAAAAAACAAATTCACCTGAATTAATTAGGATTTAGTTGCATTGAAGAGTAGTTTCACTAGTAAGGGAAAAATTGTAAGGCTGTACAATCACATAAAAATATACAAAATAGTTAGTATATTCCAAAACTATCTAAATATCGTATTTTGACGAGATTTTATTTGCGACGACAATATTTAACATTATCATAGACCTAGTCAGTTTTATTTACTGATTCATAAAATGGTTTTTGTTTTTATCCGAACTCTATTTTTCTAATCGAAATTTACGAAGTACGAATGAGAAGCACTCAAAATCATGTTTCGAAAAAAATATTCTACGCACGATATTCTGCAGTCACTATTGTTTCTTTCATGATTTCGTAATATTTTATAGTGCATAAAAATCTCTAACAAAATATATGATAACTAGCCTGATCGACTGAAATAATGATAATTAACTAGACTTGATTATTGTTAACGATCAAATATAGTATGTATAAGAGAATTAATGACTATTTCAAATGATCTGATCAAAGCGCAAACAAATTTCGAGGGTGTGAATAAAGAGAAGAATTACGCTGATACGGACAGTCAAACATACCCACATCCAAAATGTATTACGTTGAACACTACTGATCCATATTTCATATGAAAAAAATTGTCTCATTATTCATGATAAGATTGAATCATCGAATAGAGATATACCTCACATTATACACAAATGAATATATATCTGTCTACTCCATTTGACATAAATTTCATGGAATGAGTATTTTTTTTTCTTTCTTGTGATTATTTTTCATTCACCCTCACTGTACATATTTTACTGTTCTTTTGTACAGCCTCTCTCAATAGAGCACAGATTTAAAAATAATTAAAAAAAAACGAAAAAAAAAGAGGTAAAGCAGACAAACACAGAACAGAAGGCGTTGCCATACTGTAAAAGTAAGAAACAAATTATTTGAAAAAAAAGAAGCAAATGATGCAAGTGACGAAAAATTCCAACCAATAGTAACATAATTCAAGGTATTCAGAATACATTGGTATAAATTACTTTACTTTGGTGAGTAGATTATTAGGAAGATTCAAAAAACAAAAGAAACTATTTTGAACGTTATAAAATTAATACCAAGACACTCCGAGCATTGGAAATCATCGATACCGATATAACATTGATAACCATGATTGACTGTATTTAAGCCAATCAACTTATCAATGTGTATCAGTTGTCAATCGCGTTTATTCACTATTTCGCAATTGTTTCATACTTATAAGATCTTTTCATTCATCTGAATTTTATGATACCGTCTATATCTTATATGATTTGTCTGCCTCTTTTTTTTAACCTACTCTATTTGTCGATTTCCGTTTTTAAACAGATAAGAAACGACCATCTGTGCAATATACCTACAAATTTAATGAGATCACTAAAAAATGACACAGGCAGATTCGTAAAGTTTGTGTTCGAATAATAATAGTAGTGAAAAAGTTCTCGACTGTGAACTAAACTGTACAGATGAGCTTCAAAATCTGTTAGGCAGAGCACAATATATGACAATAAAGACAAAAACCTTGCGATCATAGCAAAATCTGTAACAATGAGTGCGGAAAGCTTCGCTTCACTCACCAATGCCGCCTAGCTAGAAGAACAACTTTTGCAACACGTATTAATGTAAAGTATGAAGTGCTAATCACTTCAAGCTTCACAGCAATCCATCCAAGTGTAGACGAAACGACTTCGTACCAATCACTAATGAGCTGAATTTAAACGGAAAAGTTTTGGACTGTATGCTCGTACTTCGAAGTTGAAGTCTAAAATTTCGACTATTCCACTACGTTGTTAAGATGGCGGCCGGAACCTCAGAGCTACAAAGCTATTCATAAGTATGACCCAGAAGACCTTTGAAGAATAGAGAAACTTGTTAAAGTGGAAGCTAAAATCTTCAAGTGGCATGCGAACCACCAAAAGTCAGGATGAAAAAGTCCTATTTTCACAAACACGGGTAATAGTAATGGGACAAGACCCGCGATCATTCAGCCATTCAAAAGAATCTGATCAAAAAGTTTCAGGTGATATTGAAAGTCATGGGGATGACGACAGCATATTTAAACTCTGATTAGGCTAGTGAGACGGCGAGATAAAAACACTCAGTCCATCTATCAATATGCGTAGATCAAAATGAGCAGTGTTAGACACCGCAAAATTATATGTTAAAAGGAACCAAAAGCGGCAGGCCACTTATCAATTCGACTAAGTGTCTGCAAAGGATATTAAGTCATATTCGAATACTTGTGACTTATGTCAACAATTTTAGAATCGCAGGCACATGTATACGAAGAAAGAAAGATAGCATAATGTGATTCATCAAAATGTGTTCATGACGAAAATTCGTTTTGGATAAGGGTGGGGTGTGGGTGGATGTGTTAGTATAGCTGTGGGTGAGTGTCATTTTACCGTTGATACGCCCACTGACAGCCGCACAGACAAAACTGCTTGGCAATCCGGAACAGAAAGTGATTTAACAATAAGCTATGATCAACACTTTTCATCTTTTAGATGAAATTATTCCATTTTATAATTCGCCAAAAATGATGTCAAATCGCCTACCAATCTCCTGGTACACCATGAGATCTGTTTGTAGTGTTTTACTACTTCTCTATATTGATTATACATTCGGTTGCTCATGTCGACCTGAATATTCACTTCGTGCTTCCTACATCGATGCTACCAATATCTTTATTGGCAAAACTCTGAGTGTTAGAACTTATAGCGACACACTACGACGAGAGATTGTATTTCAAGTTCAAGATAACTTCAAGGGTAAAATTCCATCATCAAAGAAAATCACAGTCTCAACTCCTTCACAAGAAACAGCGTGTGGTCTATCAATACGCGTCGGACAAACATGGCAAGTCTGGGCTCAGCCAGAGCCTTACGACGTTTATAGCAGAATGCATACGCAAGGCTCATCGAAAACCTATCTATCAACACACCGATGTGCCTTAACTACCCAAGAAGTATATCGTAATATCGAATTTCTCATTGATCCACCAGAAAATATGACAATACCCGCTTGTTGATTCTCATATTAATATGAACCATATTTATATATAAACAAAACATATGTACACTAACTTCTTTCGTATAATCGATGTCTCTGTCATAGACTCAACAACAAACGCACTTTTCAAGAAAAACTCCGATTGTTTCACTTATTCTCGCATGAACTACAGTATCTAACATGCTGAACGACGTACTTTATCAATAAAATATACAATACTTTGTTGTTACACAGCTCGTTTGTGTAAATGAGCCCATGTGAGCCACTACCCACTGTGCTCAAACAAGATTCTCAGTTTTTGCTTAATTTAAGATATATAATAGAAGCAAGTGGTCTGTGGATGTCGGTAACAATCATTTTTAAAATATTGAGGTGTCAACTGAAAGTCCTGAAATTTTAAACTGCTAAAAAAGGATATTTTAAGGATTCAATATTTTGAAAAACTACTTGTTGATCAAGCTAAAATTCTATCATTGGTGTCCATACCGATTCATTCTACTTACAAAAACAGATTCTGATTCAAACATTTGAGAATGTGGATGTAAGCGCAACATTGGTTAGATACCCACATCCACACTTCACATACACTTTGCTTCCCATAAAAATTTGTTTAATTGATAATTACCTGGATCACATCTTGACTTATAAACTTGTAAAATAAGTCGATTAGTCTGATTATCTTGTCATTTCCCAATGCATGTCCATCAAAATAATTGAAGGAAGTTGAAAAAATCTGAGTTGTTCACACTCCATTTCCATTCGTTTATTGAGGTTTTGATGAAATTCTTCAATCAATGAATCACCATCTTCAGAACTGCTATTCCTAAGTTCACATACACTAACCATACTTTCATTTTCATCACATAGACTATCTTCAAAATCCGAATCCATTATACATTTAACGTTTTACATCTTATACATCAACTTGTGTTAGTCTTGTTTCTAATTTGTATATATAATACGGTATGTCTATAAATATCGATCCTAGCATCGAGTAAGCTGTGGAAGTTTTCAGAAATTCTCACGGCTAAATAGGTCATATATCGCAGTGCGATGAATTACGATATTAAGTTTTTCAAATTCAGGTTTTATGATCAAACCTTTTTGTGGGCTATAGAAATTTGACTTGATAAACTTTTCAACGTCATCCGTACAGCCTATCAGCCATGCAAGTTGGTACGGGTCTCTATCGGCTTCTAATATTTATTAAAAATATTTCTCTAAGATTCTTAAAAACCCGAGGATTGGACAATATCTCAAGGTAGGACATACGTCTCTCACCAGAACTCAAAGGGTTAAACATAGTAAAGCTTTTGAAGAAGAAAATTCATTATAAACAAGAGCAAAAAATAACAGTATCTACATTGAGATTATTGCAAAACAATGCTTCACGATATACACAACACTTCGAAGTTATTTTTTGTACTTATCTCATGTCCATCATGAGCGTAATAAAAAGTGCCATCAGGAACAACATGTTTCCCAAGAAGAATCATCGTTGAGTTATAATGAATTCTACCGACATAGACTAGAACTGCTTCTTCTTTGCCTGCTAAAAGAGCACCTTCTGGTACAATAGCATTTCTTGTTGCACTCCATTTGAATTCCTGCTCAGGATTTGATCGAATCAACAGTTCATAATCAGATGATGAATGAACACCGAAATGTGTAATAATAGCCTTTTCGGTTCCTTCTACCAATTTGCCCGGAATAATACCATTATTTACTAATTTTGAACGTGCTATATAAACTAGTTTATTGCCTTCTTGACCACCAACAACAGCATCTGACGGAATTTTGCCGTTTTTAGGTTTTAACCATATTCCATCGAATGTTGTTTTGGACGATTCTGGAAAAAAAACAAACAATTTCTCTCTGCATGAGATATATACAATAAATTTCATTAGTTTACAACAAAATTTGACAAGGTTTGACTTTTAACATCTTAAGCTGCGCACTGTACAATAACATATCTTGAATATTGAATTTTTATAGTTTTAAACTTTAGTGAAATTTGTGAATTGAAGGAATTCAGTCAAATAGATATTGTTCTCTTACCTTTCCCTTCTTTTGCATCTTTCAACTGATTGATCAATAATTTATTTATTTCATTGTATTGATTACACTTTTCTTGCACGAATGAAAGATTCCGTTGGGTAGCATTTACAATATTTTGTAATTCACCAATTCGATATGTTCTCTCAATACAGAAGCATATCATAACTCCGAATACTGTAACTGAAAATAAAACGAATGATAAGAAATATATCTTTATTAATGATGACACATTCCATAATTGTTTTATTTTTGGGTTTAAAGATAACTTTGTTGACTCTCCCAGAATGATAGTCGTCGGTTTGATATTTGTATTATTATTATTTTGGACCATCATAAGAGCTAAATGAATTTTCCGATTTGAATAATCTTGAATAACAAAAGTTTGTACTTACGACTTTTTAAGGCTAATTTATCATCTTTATCTTGATCTCCAAGAATTTCTTCTATTGTTATGTGTGGTGCCGTTGGTGGAATTATCGATGCTAAATTTTCTAAGGATTCTTTTAAGCCATGTGTCTGCATTCGTCTCATATGTTCTAAATGAACAAAAAATATTAACACATTAATCAGAAACAGAAAATAACCTCGTAAAAGTTTCACAGCATCACGACAATGAATTTCATCAAGTGCATTTATTAAATAGGTAAAATCTTCTTCATTGATTTTATCTTGATCGAAAAGTGATTCCCAAAGACGAAGAATACCAGCAAATGATGAATCATCTCTAATAATTCGTGGAACATCGGGTCCAATATAAAAACGTAAACGTTCTCGATCATTTTCACTAAGATGATCTACTAAATTCAATAGAATAACACGCAAATGATGACTGCCCATTGATCTGCAAAGAAAAATGATATCTCACTAAAAAATTTACAATTTAAATCTGATTCAAATCCTAATTTCTTAGGACAAAGATTACAATCATCATCAAATTTACTAAATTATCAATACATTCACTTTTGTTTTCAAAAAGTCTTCTATCCAAGTTACTCTACATTCGGAGAAATACACGATGTTTTTTTCGTTTATTCTTCTCTCTATTAGTGTCCTGTGCAAATGACTTTTCCCGAAGTTTTCCCGTTCCCATGAACACTTTGAGAATGGGAACGATACGAAATTTTGACGTTCCCGAAACTTTCGTTTCATTTTCATATTCACTAAGGAAAGTCTAAATGTAAGAGCTTTCTAGTTTTTTTCTAATTATAACCAGCAATACTTCTAATTGCAATTTCATTTTCAACTAGAAGACATACCAGATCGTACTATACGTAACATCATAAAGAGATAATCTATGCTAGTACTATTTGATTCAAACATACAAGATGATATAGGAAAGGTAATTCCGAAAGTCTTATTGTCAAAGATGTAACTTGATCGACACGATTGTCCTCATTATCAAGGCAAGAAAACAAATGATCGAGTTTAAATAGGTTTACAATGTCTCAAACCGTTTTCTAGAATGTTTTGTCGGAAAAGATTAACAGAAAGGTTTTCTTGTTGAAATAACTTTGATATACAATGTAGTTGTATACGTCTTTTCTCGAAAAAACCTCCAGTAACAAAACATTTCTTAGAAATCTTTGATCGTACAGCACTTTGATAATAAAACGTTTGGTCGAAAGATTACTACATTGTTGTCTCTTTGTTGGCAAATACATCAATATGTATAGAAAATAGATTGAAAAAGACCTTGTCAAGCTCAAGAATATCTTGCAAATGTAATTGCTCAGTGTACGTTAAATAAAACTAAATTCAGTAAGTACTTCAAGAGTCTTTTACTATGGATTATAAAAAAGCAATAGGAAGCAACATAGTTCTTTTTTGTCTATTCTATTTATATATTATTCTACAGACGAGTGTTGTGCTTTTACATTCATTTGTCTCTATTCTTCAATAAGCATTTTAAGTAATACTGACTTTACGCCATTCGTCTTTTCGATAAAAAGTCTGTATCGATTTATATCTCTGCTTACGAGAATGAGAAAACTGGAATGGAAACAAAAAATATTTCTTCGGGAATGGGAATGAGAATCGAGAAAAATTGTTTCTGTAGAATACTACTCTGTACCTTATTATATATTTTCAACAGAAAAAAATCTGTATTTTCCATTATTATGACTCATGTTTTCCCATCCGACATGACCTCTTCCCATACAATATATATATAGACACACGGTCGACACATGAAATGCCATATTGGGATATAAGAACGAACAAAAAAGAAAAACGATCGAGAAGAAATGAATGAGAAGAAACACATCTAACGTAATGTTTACAAGATTTAATGTTACACATAAGGAAATTGTATTAACCATGCACGAAAAAACCCATAGCTTTTGGTTAAAGAAATTAACTTTTTAAACAGAAAATAATTAAAACTGATTCTTTCCAACAAGCTTTTATAAAGTATATCAATATTGTTTAACACAATATTATTGTTATGCCAATAATCATACACATCCGCAAGCGATCACTGAGGGTGTGGGTGTGGGTTGTGTTCTTCTTCACCGACACTCGACCACACCCACACCCATAAATTCAGCGATGTTTTTCAGTTTTGGTTTCATTCAGCTCGTGTAGTTGTTGTGAGTTGTCTGAAAGATGTACAATACATTTTTCTCATTGACATGAATACGATCAAGCAGAATTATTTGATCAGAAAATGAAGTGTATTATGTTGAATTCAATCTTTTGTCTCATAGCTTAGACACGAAACAGTCATCTGGTGAAAGTTATGACAGACAAAAACTGTTTAATTTAGGATCTAAATATAAGCGTCACACATCTATTACTCATTCATTATTTCGTCGTGGTGAAATTGTCAACTATTTGGATACAATAATAAATTGTACAGTTAAATGGCAGACTCGTTGGCGAACGAACCATAACAATCCAGATTACATTCATTTAAATATGTTTCAGCAACTGCAACAATTAGTTCTTTAGAGATTTAGTCTTACTTTCTTTGACTATTCTCTCCAGACAATGGATAATCAAGAAGACAGGGGCACGAATGAATTTGCTAATTCATTGTACACGGTTCTGGACGCGATCATAGTATTAATAAAAATACCAACACTCATTGGTGATCTATCATGGCTTTGATCAATCTTTTTTTTGAGCTATTCAATGAGTTTTTCTTGCTATTTTTGTAATTTGCCTGATTGTTCTTTGTGCTTGTATCGACCTTTTCTTTCACGGCTGGACTCGTCTCGTTCTTGTCTCATGATGTTCTGTAAGAGAAGTTGCCAGTAATCTTGAGCAATGCTGCTCTCACATAATATGTTGTCACACTCTTGAAATTTAGTTAGATCTAAAAAACGTAATACGACATGAAATTCTTAGGAGTCATTGAACCCGTGTTTTTACTAGTGAGATCTTGTATAAATGACACGACAATGGATGACTTTTGCCTTGCTTCATCAATCAGTTGCTCGATTTCGAGTAGTGTCACATATCCAAGATTTTGGAGATGCCACCGCATCTCCAGCGGGAGACGCGGCACCCACACTCGGGAGATGAGGTCATTCACCACTGGAGATGTAAGATCTCCTTTAGAGAGACGCATCTCCCACACCCACACTCGCATCTCTCGAGCAAGATCCGGCATCTCCCGCAGGAGATGTGGTGGCATCTCCAAAATCTTGGATATGTGACACTGCTGTCATTTTCTTTTACTTGGAACGGTTTAGCTTCAATTTTTTGAATTCCAGAAGATAATTTGACACCGGTGATAAACGTATCCATCTGTTCTTGCACAAAAAACCACTTGTCATCACTCGATATTGATTTAATAACGTATACTTTTATTTTTTCACGGGAATGAGTGAGAGTTTTGCAAAAATTGATTAAGATCTTATCGATAGTGCCAGCATTGACGACACGATCATCAACATTGAAGACAATCAAATCTGTCACATTAGCATCTAATTCACTGCTGCCATCGAGAAAACTGTAGATATTCTCTTAACACAAAAGAAGTCAGAATTAACTCACAATAATCTAGAGCGTTTTCGATCCTATTCATGATCTCTTCACTATTTTTAGGGTGAGTGTGGGATGTGACAAGTAAGTGTAGGTGGGCAAAATGACTACAGTCACAGCCATACTCTACTCGTGCCCACATCTGCACCCTAACCCATATTCTGAACTCAACAGCCATAAGTAATATGTTTCGTTAATTGTGGCATAGTCGAGTAGGATTGACTTCTAATATTCTTACCTTTTTTCTTCCATAGAGATTGAAATAATAGAATAACCAGTTGATTGGCATAGTATAATATATTCAATGGCGATGGTATTGGAGATTTAGTTGCATACTCTTTAGCTAGTAGAAATCGATGATAAGCCCAGTCTTTCTGTGCATTATTGTTGGTTTTGTAAGCGTCACACTGAAACCAGAACAAGGGATGCAATAGTGTGTTACAATGACAGTTTATTGATTAAGACTAAATGTTGTCTTCAAGAGTGACATGTTAGTTTTTCTTCTGGGACTACTTAAAATGAGGGAAATATATAGCACTCATCATATTGGCTTCTTCTTTGTTCTGCACTGCTTTTTCTTTCCATCAAATATTCTTAATCAAATTTATACTATTTTATTTGACAATGCTAATGAGCCAATCGAGCATATCTCTGTTCTGTGTTATGACTCTGGTAACTTTAGTGAAGTGTATGTTCTTCTGAAAGCCTTCACTTCAACTTAGATTCTTTGTCAGATATCTCTTTTAGATTTCAAGACTTTCGAAGAAGCAGAAATTTGAAAAAATCACTATCGTATCATCTGTAATGTCCAGCACATGCAGTGTGAAGCTTTGGAAAAAAATTTAACATACTAATTAAGTTTTTACTTTTGAAAAATCTTTATTGATGAGTAGGATTGTCGCTACACAGCTTTGACAACCATCTCAAATGGTAGATATTTATGAGACCTATTCAAGAATGTACTGCTTCATGACAAGACCTGAGTTTTTGGAAGCTCGAAACTGTTCATCGAATTCTCCCTCGTTTTAGTTACGATATTAGTTTTGAACATCCATCTAATCTATCGTAACAACCAAAATGATTTTCATCTAGTAAAAACTTCTTTTTCTACAGCTGAGTGCGTTGAGTCGATTTATTAATATGTTTTGTTGAACATCAAGCGCTTACTTAGAAAGAGCCACCAGTACGTTGAGTAGAAGTACATTGGCGACACAGACAAAGATGATTGTCAGCACAAATGCCATATTTCCATATGCATCAGTATCAACTATTTGGAGATATTTCAAATACTATAAACACACATATGACATGCCTTACCTGTAACGCTCGATGTAGAAGCTGCTTTGTAGTCAATAAGATCTATTTGTCCGTAAATCTTCCACATGCCCCAATCGATGATATTCCATAAGAGATGCCATGTCCCAAGATCGGTCCCGTTCCGGCTGATATTGTATATGTAAGACGGCGAACCATCTTCGTTTCGGATCCAGGTAACTTAATATGGAGTAGTGATTAGTGCATAAGAACTGATTGAATAGGCAGCAAGAAAAATAAAAATGAAATAAATGAAGAAGTCCAAATCTTTCATCTAAAAAGCAATCGGAATGAGCCAAATAAGAAAAGCAGAATGCCTTTACTTACTGTGTTAAATATCATTAATAATCTGGGTTCAAGTTGTTCGTAAGCGGCGAAAAACTGAAGAATACGTACGTACCATAGACAGGGATCGACAGGCATGAAAATTCTTTAAAAAACATAGCGAAAACTAGAATGAAGAGTTAAAATTAAAAGAACTAACTTTGAGATGACAAATGCTTGTTCAATGACAATGAATCTTGTAATGAAACTGG